AGAAAGGTGGCGAGTGGCAGATGGCGCTGTACTTGCTGTCGCAGATGGCTTCAGCCCGAGTTGGGGCGAACGAGATCAGCTTCAGTGCCTGCATCAAATCCTGTGGCACAGCCCGCATCTGGGAGCTGGCCTTGTGCCTTTTTGCGTCGCTAAGGGGGAACCAGCTACAGCCAGATGCAGCTTCGTATGGGCAAGCCATAGACGCAGCTTGGCCCGAGGCTGTCGTTTTCGAGCTTTTTGATCAAGCCATGCGGGACCAGACGTGGCCAGACATGTTGCAGAGAGGTGGATCTGGGCTTGATCTGCATTACCACTCCTGTGGGTCAGCGATTCTTGCGGTGTCGTGGTGGCTTGCAGAGGTTGTCCCGAAGCAGCTTACCCGGACGCTCGGACACGAACCGAGTTCGCTCGAAGTCATCACAGGCTGGGGGAAATCCCGCATGCCCTGGCAACCTGCTGGCTCAGACCTCCAGGTTTCAGTGCGCAGATTGTTGGATGAGCGTGCTATCCCCTGCAAGATCCACCCGCAGAATCGCGGGCTTTTACAGCTTGATCTTCGAGGAATCGACCCGCGACAGCTTCGTGCACTGTACCCATCCTCAGCGAAATCCCCGAGACAGTGATCGAAATCTGAGTGCGGGCAGAATTTAATACGATGATTTGTCGGGATTATCAAGTGGAGCAAGAGAGATTTGAAAGGTCGAAGGTTACAATGTACAGATTCAGGAAGCGATGCCGTCGCATGCAGGTGTCAAAGAATTTAGTAATTCGACGGTGCACCTCTTTCGTAACGATCTGAGTCTGTACGTCAACCTTCTCAAACCGACCCTCGAGCGGAAAAGTCTGCTGGAAATTGAAGGCATCATAAGACTCCATGGCGTTCTTTGGGGATCCACTTGTCGGAACCCAGAATCCTCACCCCTGTTACGTGGACGAAGTAGGTTTGGCAGATCCGGCTAAGGATAGACCTTGGGGCATGGCCTTCAGGCCTTAGCTTCAAACTCCGGGTGCGGTCTTTAATCTTTGCTTGTCTCGGCGAATCTCTATCTGTTTGTTTGAGTGCTTCTCCGCTTTCGCTCGAAGCTCTGTCTACTCTAGCTCTGTCCATCTATCCAGCTATCTACCTATCTATCTATCCATCTATCTATATCTATATTTCTCACATAACAGGATAATCAGAGATGCGGGACTAGGGGCTTGCAGGAGGTGTTTCATGTAGAAGCAGAAATAAGTACCAACTTATAACTACCAATTCATTATGTTTCCTCAGAACTTGTTTTTGAAACTATACCGTAACATGGGTGGGGGGTGGGCATAGTAACGTCTCTGGGCTTGCATCCTGTCACAACTCTGCGCGCAAAGCTTTGCCGTCTTGCTTGCCATGTTAGGCGTCGCCCTAGGCCTTCACAAACAACTAGGCTGAACCTTGGCAAGAACCTAGGGAAAGTAAGATAATCATGTTAAGTACTGCCTACTGCCCCTTCCCAACTACTCCTAAATAAACTGAACATTGCCCGCAACCCATATGAAGTAAGATAATCACTTTAACTATTGTCCACTGCCCCCTCCCTACCCCACCAGCCATAGAAAGTAAGCTAATCATGTCAAGTATTGCCTACTGCCCGTTCCGTACTACTCCTACATGACGCGCGCCACAAGCCTTAGAAAGTAAGATAACCATGCTAAGCAGTGCCTACAGCCCGATCGTTACTAGACTGAAGCCTTCAATCCATTGTATGCCAAGTGAACTTGAACACGAACCCGCAAGCCCAGAAATATGTATATAAAAATGAATAGTTTCGGCTCTTGCACAACAGCGACGTTTTCCTAGGAATCGTACAGAAACCCAAGGAATAAGCTAATTCTTACCCTGGAAAGTCGCACGGCGACTGACGCAAGTTTGACCTAGTTATCATGGTCCCTTGTTCAGTCAGTCTCGGATCCTTAGCGAGTCTGCAGGCGAAGATTAAAGTTTAGGGTTTCGGTTTCATATGCTGCCGCCCCCACTAACAGTTAAATAAAGGTTCCTCATATATCACAGAGGCAGAAATGGACACCAGGATTTGAAGGCCCAGTGGATTAAATCTATCGCAACCTTCAGCACCACAAAATTTAAAAAGCACAGTCATGAGCACAAAATTCATCACCAGAAAAAGCACAAGCACGAGCACAACAAGCACCAGAAAAAAAGCACAATCACGAGCATAAAGTTAAGCACCAGAGAAAGCACAATCATGAGCACAAAAGTTAGCACCAGCAAGTTGCGGTGTTGCTGGTGTTTCTTGTTGTGCTACTGTTTGTGGTGACTGTTACTAGGGCCGCCGACATGTAAGGTTTCGGGTTTAGAATTTAGTGGTATAAGGTAAACCCCTAAGCCCCTTGGCCTATAAGCCCCTAAACCCCTAAATCCATGAAACATAGCCTGCATGGCTTAGAGATCAGACGGAGAAAAAGCCCTGTAAACGGCGTCCCTGCAAAATGGGAGGCAAAAAAACCAAAGCACTTATGTTACAGGCCGATCGCCTTCGACATGACGGAGACACCTACATCCCAGGCGCCGGCACACGCTGGAGCCACGTGCACAGAGCGAAGGAAGCCAAGTCCAATCCCCAGGCGGGGGAATAAGGTCCATGGAGTTTCGGGCTTGGGGTTTAGAGATTAGGATTTTGGGGTTTAAGGTTTAGGGTTTGGGGTGCGAGGTTGTGGATCGACTGTGTAATCTGACTTTAAATACAGGGATAGCTTAAGAAAAATGGGTGTCTTTTTCTTCATGAAAGGGCAGCTACTAAGAGCTCGGCAACCCTGGTATCCTAAAGATGCCACGACGTAGGAGTGCTTCACTACTGGACCGAGTGAGACTGTTGTACAACAAACCCAGCGTAGACCCCTGCTTAGTAAAGGCCCGCATTTTCATGACCTTACCAAAGTCTTTGTTGAGGGAGCGGGGGTTCTGAATAGAGGTCTATAGGGCCTAGGGTTTACGATAAATCAAGTATGACACGGTCCGGCATGGGCCTATATTTTTCAATCACAACAAGGAACCCTAGGGAACGATATGATTGTAGTTCTTCAGGCCTCTATAATACCCCTGAGCCCTAAGGAAACCCTGAATCCCAAATGTTATGCCTTGTGCGAGCGCGCGAGTCGAAGCCCTAACATGCTAAACTTAAGCTTACCCCCTTGAAGCCCTGAAGCTCCACGGCACAAGCCTTAAGTTTAGGGTTTAGGGTGTTAATTAGGGGTTTAGGGTTTAGGGGTTTAGGGTTTAGGGGTTTAGGGTTTAGGGGTTTAGGGTTTAGGGGTTTAGGGTTTAGCGGTTTAGGGGTTTAGGGTGGTTTAGGGGTTTAGGGTTAACATCCTAAAAAAAAGGGCCCGGAAGCTCGAAGCCCTGAAAGCTTGCGGTAGGCTGGCACCTCCGTCGCTGCAGCGGAGGAGGTCGTGGACCCCAGATGCTTTGGAACCGCGGAAGATCGTACTGTACCCAAAACCCAAAACCCTAACCCTCCAGGTACCTGCTATATAGGGCCCTAGGGGCTCTAGTACCCCATATAGTAGGCACCTTAGGGGTTTGGGCAAAAACCTTGAACCGCTGCTCTGAGGGAGAGGTTGGGGTTTTGGGAGCCTTTTTGGTTTAGGACTCTCGGGTTTCTCAGGCCTAAAGATCTAAACCCCTACGGCCAACAAGTCTGTACGCCCACTTACCTCCAACTGCTCTGCGATTGTACATGAAGCTGACCTCTAGGTGAAGGCTTGAAGCATCTGTTGATGGACAGCTTCTTTCATGATCCACGTCGAGGACTACTACATAATTCAGCTTCCCAGGTCATTCTGGTTCTCGTTCCAACAGCATCTCTCGTGATTATCCTTGACCCTAAACCCTTAAAAAACAAACAATAACCACAAACCTACCCGGTTAAGGATTTCTGAAAAGAAGCCCTGATGAGAAACCCTAAGCAGGCAGGCTTTTTTTTTTTTGGGGGGGGGGGGGGTAAAGGTTTCCCTAAACCCTGGGAGGACCCTGAACCTGAACCCTAGGGTTGTTGATATAACTCCTGCATTACCTTAAGGACCCTAAACTATGGGAATTATGGCATATTCCTTATTATGGGTAATGCAGGAAGTATATCATCCACCGTACCTGTAGTTTCCATTGTAGTTCCCTTCTTGGGTTTCCTTATACAAGTAGGACCCGAAACACATACATGATCATACCAAAAAGAAAAAGCGGAGCTACAACGGAGACTACAGGTAAACCCCAAACCCTAAACCCCTAAACCCCTGAACCCTAAACCCCTAAACCCCTAAACCCTAAAACCCTAAACCCTGAACCCTAAACCCTAAGCCCTAAGCAGCACAGCAGGATGACGAGGAAGAGCTGCCTTGGCAGGTGGTTGGCGTCAATGCCCCTTGGCAGCTAAATTGCTTCAATTTCCGCGGCTTTAGCTTTAGGTTCTTAAGTGACCCTAAACCCTAAACCCTAAACCGTTTAGGGTTTTGGGTTTCGGTGTTTTTCGGGGTTTAAGGGTGTAATTATAGAGCTTTAGGGTTCAGGGTCACCACTGAACTTCAGACCCTAGCTGACTAAACCCTGAACCTCAATTAAAGAGTTTGGGGCAGCTCAAGGGGCATGATAGATTTGAGGTATACTGCCCTAAGGGTCCATGTACCCAAATACTATATACTTTGGCCTTGAAGTAGTCCCTATATAGGTACTTTGGGGCCAATGTATATACTACATGAGTACTTGGACCCTTAGGGCTGTATACCCCGTAGCTTCAACCTGGTGCCTTAATGAAAGAAGGTGTATCTCTAGCCTAAGGGATTAGGGGATAGGGTTTAGGGGTTAGGGTTTAGGGGTTAGGGTTTAGGGTTTAGGGGTTAGGGTTTACGGCCCTAGACCCCCTAAACCCTAAATCCCAAACCGTCTGGGACCAAGGGCTTGGACATGTTGCAGAAGCTGAAGAGGTACTTCGCCTTCTACAAGCACGAGGCCTTTTGCAAGCGCTTCGCGTTTGAAGGTCTAGTGCTCACGGTTTAGAGTTTAAGGTATTTAAGCTTTCAGGGGCTCTACCCATGGGCTCCTTAGTAGTTCCTTTTGAGGATTACCTCAAAGGATTCTATAGATGAACCACAAAAACGAACTACTTAGGAGCCTATGGGTAGGCGCCATAGCCCTAAACCAGGCTTGGTTCTGGAGCCCTTTTTCTGCAAGGATTGGTTTTCATGGTTGTTTGGAGCCTCGTCTCTGGGTTGGAGCGGGCCAGAGACCTGTTTTCAATTGATCTCTACTTAATTAGTCACCTCTGGCTTCAAAGAATACTGGTTCAAGTCTGCATTTTCGCTTTCGCAATTGATAAGCAATTGTTGGTCGAACGGTCTATTCATAGCCTGTGTTGCGAACGTTTCAACAGCAGAAACAGTAAGCCCCTCTTCGCCGGTGACAGAGATCGAGGCTTCTGAGCTAAACTCTCAACCCCAAACCCTAAACCCCATTCGGTACATTCCTTAGGAGCCGCAGCTCTGAAGCAGTATAGGCCCATCCTAATTAAATTAGCATTTGGGAGTACCTTTTTGTGGAATAATTATCGTTGTTATCATCATAGTAAGGGGCCCTATGGAATAG